CCCCCCCGGATTTGTCAGACGCCGCCGAGGAGCAGCGCTAAGGTGGACATGGGATTCCTCACTGGGATGCAAGTTTTCCCCCAAGCAGAGAAGCCCATTCTCTTCTCTGGACCTGGGCCTTTGAACACCTGGGGGTGTCTTTGCCCTCCCTCGGGACACCAGTCTTCGGTGTGTGGCAATGTGGAAGTCTTTTTTTCCCACGTGAAGGTTGCTTTCCTCCTGAGGGGGTGTTTTCCCATGTGCAGGGTGAGGTGGTTTGTTTTGTTTTGTTTTTTTTTGCCGCCCTGGACACGCGTTGGCCCCCCTCAAAGAATTTCTGCGGAGATTTGTACCCCAGAATCCTGTTCCCTCATGCCTTTGTACCCCAGAATCCTGTTCCCTCTTGCCTTTGCCTCCTCCCCACCCCACCCCCTGGAGACCCTGGAAGTGATGTGTTCACATACAGTGACCCTTGGCCACACCAGACTATACAGGGTGATGCCTGGGCAACAGCAAGAAAATCACAGGCCCCCTGGACCTCACTCCCCCTCCACCCTGAAAAGCATGTTTCTCCCCCATGGCACAAGTCAGGTGAAGCATGTTCTCCCTGGAGGCCCCCCGCCTTCCACAGACAACACAGATTTCCTGCCAGAGGAAAGGGAGGAGATCTGTGCATCCCAGGACGGCCTGGAAACTTACCTGCCCACGGTCCAGGACACATTTCACGGAATGGAAACATGTTCTCGCATGTGGATGTGTGTTTCCCAGGCAGAGGGTCCCGCTCTTCCCAGCACTTCCCCCCGCGTCCCCCCTGCACCTCAGGCCCAGCACACAATTCCTCCTGACAAGGCAGGTAGGAACAGACTTCAGACTGACAGACGCCACGGGGAAGTACACACTTGAAGGGAGATGCTGAGGTGGGAGAATGTGGGGGCATGGTACATGTCACACACGAGGCCATGCATGTTTGACCTAAGCCCTCACGGGGCCTGAGGACAGCTTTCCCTCAGTCCTTGAGATCATTGCTCATCCGTGCCAAACTGGTTAGTGGGGTGGGGAGACTCAAAAATGTGCCAAGGATCCCCTAAGTCCTAGTCCAGGGAAGGGAAATGCCAAGGACAGGTGGCAGCTAAGTCCCCATCCCTCATGTCTCAGCCCCATGTCACGTCTCCGCATCCGCCTTTGTTCCTCATTCTCCATCACTGGCTCCTTCTTCGACGCTCTCCCCATCTCAGGGTCAGACCAGCCCGCTCTCTTCACCCTCCTTGACCTGCCTCCCCTTCCTGATTGGCTGAGCTGAAGGAAAGGAGCCACAGAAGGGGGAGGGGAGGAGCCAGGGGAAAAGGTTACGCAGAGAGGTTGGGGAGAATGAGGTCAGCTGCACCGAGGAGCAGATGGAGGGGGCCGTGGAGGACAGGGCTTGGGCAGACACCAGCAGGAAGGTTTTGAAAGGCAATGTGGGAAGCAGCTGCCCAGAGCTCTTTGTGTTTGGACCTCTGGGGAGAAGAACGATGTCAGGAAAGGTTTTAAGGGACACCGGTGGAGGTGTGACCGAATCCTCATGTATTGTGTGGCTTTCCGTGGGATGTTAGTGCCAAACTTGTAGAGGGGTGGGATGCTGTCTTTCTACTGACGGGGATGCTGTCTTTCTACTGACGCCCAGATCCAGAATCCTTGGTCTTGAGTCCCCTGTCCTTTTCCCGCCTTCCACCCATGGAAACGAAGTTCTTTTCTGGCCCATTCCCCTGCCTGGTCTAGCAATTCTTGGAACAGCCATGCCTTCCAAATGCTATCAACCTGGGCCCTGAGCCCTGTAAGTGGATTCCTCAGAGCTGGGGTGTGAGGGGGGGGGCTGGGGGACCCCATGATACAGCCACGGACTCCAATGCCCAGCCCCTTTCCAAACAATCCCATGTCCCCACCCCCACCCTTTGCGGCTCTGTACACATTTTTAAACCTGGCAAAAGATGAAGAGAATATTGTAAATATAAAAAGTTTAACTGTTGGTGTGTCTGCTGTTATGTTAGAAGGGGGGGGGCGGCCCCAGCCCTGGTTGTGTCTGTTGGAAGGTGGTGGGAAGTAGTTCCCCTTTTCAGGAAACTCCTGAGATCTGAGGGGAAATAGCAGGAGTAAGGGTGCCTTAATGACGGGAATGATGGCTGAGGTAAAGACAGGATGGTCAAATAGTCACAAACACTTGTAAACATAGCATCCAGGCAGTTGTTGGGGAGGGATCATGAACTCAAGACCAGCCTGGACTACATGTCTTTAAAAAAAAAAAGAAGGAAAGAAAATGCTGAACTGGAGAGATGGCTTGGAGGTTAAGAGCACTGGCTGTTCTTCCAGAGGTTGAGTTCAATTCTCAGCAACCACATGGTGGCTCACAACCATCTGTAATGAGATCTGGTGCCCTCTTCTGGCCTGCAGGGACACATGCAGGCAGAATACTGTACACGTAATAAATAAATGATTTTAAAAAAATGCTAGACATGGTGCGCACTGTAATCCCAGTAGATAGGTAGAGACAGGATCAGGAGTTCAAGGTCACTCCTGGCTATGTAGAGGCCAAGATCAGGAGATGTGTGTGTGGAGGGGAGTGTCTAGAACCCAGTGTTGTTTTAGAAGGAGGAGGAACCGAAGAGGGCAGATGCCCAATGGTTAGAGAGTCTGTGGGCTTGGTCTCTGCCAAGGTCTGGACTAAGGCTGGAGGGTCAATCCTGGGCATGGCACCTTGAGAGTATCACCTTGGCACATTATGAGGGAAAGCCTCAGCATCATTGTGACCCGGTCACTCTCAGGACCCCTCTGGGTCAGGTAGCAGGTCACTGGGCACTAGGGTTAGTGGGCTGGGGGCCTAAGGGCCCTGGTGGCCCTAGGGACCGCCATGGCCATGGCTGAGCGGTCACGGTCTGAGTGGGACTCCTATCAAAACCCCAACAGCAACAACTGCCAGGACGTGGGAAACTCCATTCTGATACTGTTGGGTCTCATCATCTGTATTAACATTGGCATCAACTTGGTGACCCTGGTCAGGGATGGGAGGGGTGGCTGGGGTGGCTGGGAGGCAGGCCCGGTTACAAGAACCTACTCGTGGTCACCATGTCCTCCTGTACCTAGCTCTGGAGCCGACTCCGCATCATCTTACACCAAATATTCCATATCATTTGTGAGAAAGGTAAGAACGGCGAGAGGTGGGGGCCTAGGGGGAGCAGAAACCAGGCTTCTGTCCCACCCGACCCTGAGCTGTTCCTTAATGGCTGGAGCAGCCTCTCTCCCAGAGCCCCACCTTACCTCTGTGGAGAAGCCAGCCTCTCCCTCCTCCACAGAAACTACTCAACTATACCCACCTGGGAGGCAGATCCAGCCCTTGAGGAAACAGACCTACCCTGAAGTCCATCTTCGATGTACCATGGACCCCATGAAAATGACCGTGACCCCCCCACCCACTCGCCGACACCGCCGCAGAGCTTCCCAGTCTCGCCGTGCCCACCGTGCCCACCGGCCGACAGCTTGGGCCCCTGACACCGATGAGGAGAGGTCTCTGCATCAGTGTCAGGCCATCTGCTCCCGCCACTGGGATGGTCCTAAGGACTGGGAGAGCTTCCAGCCCCTGCAGGAGATCTGGGAACCCTGGACTCAGGATGGTCTAGAGCAACCTCCCCAGACCATCCGTTTCCAGCCAACAGTAGAGGGACGGCCTCTCAAAACAGAGATCCGGTCGGAGCAGGGCCTAGAGGCCTATGTGTATACTGTGAACCCCCCACCTCCCAACCCAGAGGCTTTGAGCCATAAAAACAATGGGGTGGGGCCAGGGGCAGGGGCTGAGGGTGAGCAAGCACCGTGCCAGCCTGCCTCACCAACCTTCCTGGGTCCAGCAAACATCCCTGAAATACCTCGGCGCCGTTCCTCGGGCCGAATAGTGTATGATGCCCGAGATGTGCGGCGCAGGCTTCGAGAACTGACCCGCGAGGTAGAAGCTTTGTCTCACTGTTACCCCTTGGTTTCTGGATCCAGCACAGTTGAGGGGACAAGCAAAGATTGGGTGTATCGTCCCCTGAAGGGAAGATGACTGGGGGGAAAATAAAAAGGAGAGAGGACGTAGCTTGTGGTAGTCTGGGGGAGGGTCCTCAGAGTGCCCAGAATCCCTGGTTGCTGAGAATGACTTCCCTTGAAACAGGGAGAGCCCTGGGGACCCTTGTCAACTTCTTGCCTTCATAGGCCCTGTCCTGAGCCCTTCTCAAGGCCCTTCTTGGTTCCAAGACTCCCAACTGCCTCTATCCTGTTTTCTTTAGTGCCCAGAGAAGCCACCAAATCCAGCCAGATCCCCAGGCAGTCCTGAACTAGAGGAAAGACCTCAGGCCCCACGGACCTAGCTCAGAGGTCTGAGGAGCCCAGGTTTAGGCTCCAGATCCAGCAGAAACAGGGGTCCCTCTAATGCTCTAGTTTCTTTGGGCAAAGATGTTTTCGAGGGAGGGTCTCTAGGCCCTCATGATCTTCCAGGCAAAACCTGAAGTTCCCGCAACCCTTTTGAATAGACTTAGAAGCAGTAGGTAAAACAATAGGGACACTCTTAAAGAGACGCCATCCCTAATGTCTCAGGCTTGTGTGGTTTTATGCCTCATATGGTTATATGTCCACAAAGGTGGAGGCTTCAGTCAAATGACTTGCTTGTGGCCACAGACATCAGGGACCATGTTCACAGCCTTAAGACTTTCTACCCCCACATCCCCATTCCTGCTAGTGGATCAGCCCAGCCTACATTTTACCACGTGACCTCCAAATATTCCATCCACTGGACAGAAGAGAAACGACTCCTGTCCTGCTGTCAGACTGGCTGACATTCTCCTAGGCATGTGCACACATAAGCTTGGGAACAAGAAATCATGTGACCCCAGGCTGAAGGTACTGGACATCACCTTTCATACTAGATGGATTCCTGGAATGTGAGCATATTTTCTGTGAATCACCTTTTCTGTTTACATCCAGCTGGAGTTATTGAAGTTGAGTGGTAGCACAGGCCTGTAATCCCAGGACTTGGGAAGCTGAGGCAGGATGATCACGGCAAGTTTAAAGCCAGACAGGTTTACATACCCAGTTCTAGGATAGATGGGACTATAATAGCGAGATGCCAACCATATCAGTGAAACAAAACACACGAACAAAAGGTGATCATTTCAAGTTATTTTTATTCTATGGGCACATAGTAAGCATGTACTGTGTATTTGGAGACCATAAGAAACACCTTTCTTCCATTTCTGCTAAATAGTTTGCTGTAGGAGACATTCTTGGTTGGCAGATGGAAGCAGGAAGATCAAGGAGTTCAAGGAACTCCTTAACTACGAAGTTTGCCAAGGTCACCCTGGTTTACATGAGACCCTGTCTCAAAAGAGCAGGGAAAATGACTGTTGGGGGTGGTGGTGGCGCCTGCCTATAATCCCAGCACTCTGGAGGCAAAGGTAGAATGTTTGTTGCAAGTGCAAGGCCAGTTTGATCTTGAGTTCCAGGCCAGGAAGGATTACATAAGACCCTGTTTTATCTTTATGAGACAGGGTCTTCTTACTGTGTGGCCTTGGCTGGCCTGGAAGTCACTGTGTTGATCATGGCTGGTCTTGAACTCATAGAGATCCGCCCTGCCTCTGCATCTGGAATGTGGGTTAAAGGCATGTGCCACACCATACCTGGCCTCTTTTTTTCTTTTTCTTTATAAAGATTTTTGTTTTTTAAATTAGATGTCTATGTGAGGGCAGATATGTGCACTTGAGTGCAGTTGCAGTGGAGTCCAGAAGAGGGCGTTAGATCCTCTGGAACTGAAGTTTTAAGTAATTGTGGGCCACCCAACCTGAGTACTGGGAACTAAACTTGGGTCCTCTGCAAGAGCAGTATGCACTCTGAACTGCTGGGCCGTCTCTATATCTCCTGCTAGATTCTATCATCAAAACAAATGCAAACAACCCACACTTGCAATCTGGGTGCGACGTTCATGGACAAGTGATTGTTAACCTTTGTCATATCAACAATTACATCATTTTATACTTTGTTAACTGTGTGGACTGTTTTTTTTCTAGTGCCGAGTAAACGTGTTTGGCAAGGACTCTGCCTCTTCACTACACTGGTGTGTGTGTTTGTGTGTGAGATTTAGATGGTACCACTAGCTCCAGGAGGGCCTGGAACTAGACCTCTTCTTGTCTCAGCCTCTCCAGCAGCTAGGCCTGACAAGCCCATGCTTTTCATCGCTACCATGCTGTGCTGGGGTTTTCTTAAGGTGGCAGTTGGTGGCTTTTCAACTTGGAGTAGGGGTGGATTGATGGGCAGACAGTTTCTTGGGAAGGAAGGAGGACCACCGTGGATGTTGGTAGTGGGCAGGACAGCAATCTCAGCAAGGTGGACGTCTGTGTGATGCTGAAGCAAATGAGCCAGCGCCGGACACGGACGATTAGGATGAGGAAATGGTCGGGATGGGGAAGAGCGGACACTGCTAGGTGTCGTCCCTGTCGATGGCGACCTCAAAGCAGGCACGAGATGCGACATATCCACAGCCTACACGTGTGGCCGTGTGTCAGAAGAGCAATGAAATCCTTTATGGATATTTTGACAGTCTGAAGACTGTCTCATGACTATAGCTGCCATACTTTCTGATCAGGAACCAGACGTGGGGTTAAGAGTGGAGGCAGGGAAGACTGAACTCCAGTACCTGGGGGCCATGTTCTAGCAAATGGAAGGCAAAGGATAAAACTTGTCATGCAAGGGGTCACATTAGTGAGTGAAAGAGCAGCTACCTCTCCATTATGACCCCAACCTGCCTCATTATGACCTGGCTCCCTCTCCCAGACAGGAAGCATCTCTCGATACTAGCATGGATACAGTGTGGGGTGGGTGGGCTGGGTGGGGGGGTGGGCTGGCCCAGGTGGCCTTAGGACCCCCCCACCATGGAAAACCAGCTATGGCCCGGCACCCTGGGATGCTGCAATCAATACCCAGACAGCCCCCAGGATGCTGAAGACATCTTATTCCTGCTGCTGGGTCTCATCATTCTCGTCAACATCGGCATCAACGTGACGACTGTGGTCAGTGGTTCCTGTGGCTCACCCGTAGGGATGAAGAAGGCTGAGTAGAGAAGCCAGCTACAGGCTTGCTCCACTTGCAGAAATGGGTGGGATCGTTGGGACTGGAGATGGTATTAGAAAACCGGTCTTGACTCCCATCTCCCCACCACCCGCAGATGTGGCATGGGCTCCAGAACGCCTTAGACAAGATGACCTTTTGGATGAATCAGAACAGTGAGTATGCTAGACAATAGCCACACACACACACACACACACACACACACACACACACACACACACGACTCAAAAAAAAAAAAAAAGAAAGAAAGAAAGAAAGAAAAAAAGCACCAGGGCCAAGCGTTCTTAACCCTGAACTTTTCGGCTCTTGTTCTGCAACAGAAGTAGTCCGGGCTACCGAATATCCCCTGAGAGCGCTCCCAGCCAACATCCAGGACGTGCACATCCATTGCATCCTGGACCCTGTACAAGTGAAGATGGCGCAACCCACACACTGCTCCTCTTCCTACCACTATCTCCGTCAGCGCTGTAGCGGCAAGCATCGCCGCCGCCGCAGGCGCTGCCGCAGCCGCCACCCACCGGGCAGCCACATCCGCTTCCCACCGGGCCGCTACGGCCACCAGCGGAGGCTTCCAAACAACAGGCCGCTCTCCCGCCGCTGCCTACCCTTCTGCAAGCAACCTCAAAGCCACAGGACGTCACCGCTGAGGCCGCTGCCCTTTTTTGACCTGGAAGACCGGGATTCCCTTCCGGAGGACGACCAGTCCTGCCCGCACCCCAAACACCCCTCCAGGGGCTGGGGCGGTTTTTATAAGCCGAAAGGTCTGGCCTCCAATGTGGGACTGTGGGGCCGCCAGGGCGGAATCCTGGCCAGCCTCCCGCTGCCCTCTCTCTACCTGTCCCCGGAGCTGCGTCGCCTGCCCAAGCGGGTAGAGGCCAAGTCAGAGCTGAGGCTGCAGACCTTCGGCCCCCATTACTCCCAGTCCCGGATTTGGGGTAACGTGGAAGCTGAGCAGTGGGCCTCATCCCCGGCCCCTGCCCGCTGGCTGCTTCCTAACCCCTCCTGGGTCACTGTGGGCTACAGCCCTTTCTCTTCAGGGGGGCACGTACCCCACGATGCCTGGGAGCAGCGGCGGCGTGGGGTGGAGGGCTCTGAGCCACCGCCGGCCTTTGTGAGCAGGAACCCCAGGCCGGAGGCCCAGGGCTACCGGGAGCACAGCTCCTCCCAGGCCTACCGGCAGAACCTACCTAGCTACAACACTCACAGCCAACCCAACTACAGCCCGCCGCAGTCCACCGGACACATGGGGTACAGCTCCCGGGAGTCCCACGAGATCCGCAGGCGGACCGCCGACTGGACCGACGTCTTCCCCTCCCGGCACCCTCTGACTACTTCTACCTCGCTCACGGCGCTGGGTGAGACTTCCTACCAACGGGCCCCAGCTGCCAGCTCCGGCCTGATGATCCCGCACTCCTCTCAGGCCTCGCCTGAAGTGCAGGCTTCTGATCCAACTCCGCCTCCAACCACCTTTATTCCGCTCAGTCGGAATCCAGGTGGTAATGCCAGCTACCAGGTGTATGACAGCCTGGAGCTGAAGAGGCAGGTGCAGGAGAACAGAGGGCGGGCCAGCTCACTGCCACCACCGTCCACCTCGGCCTCAAGGCCGTCTCTGCACAGGAGTCGGACGGGGAAACTTAACTGACCAGCACGCGGATGTGGGCAGTGGAGCGGGGCATGGAGAAAGGAATAAAGAGAAAGAGTGGAGAAACCCTTGTTGGTGGTTTGGAAGTGCCTTCATCAGCCTGGGACTCCTGATGTGAGAAACCAGCCACTTCCTTGGCATGATGCTCCCGCCGGTAGCCCCCTCTCGATCCTGTCTGAAATGTCTTAAACTGCAAATCACAGGTCTTCAGAGCACCACCTTGCTTCAGTTCTTCCTTTTCCCCAAAGGGACTGACCCAGCTCTGCTCAAGAAACAGATCAGGACTTAGAGAAGGTGGCTCTTTGGCTGGGTGCTGGCTGCTTTTGCAGAGGA